CCCCAAAACCCCAAAACCCCAAAACCCCAATTTTATAAGCTTTAATAGAATAATATGAATTTACAGATCAGTTTTAAAGCTTGGGATTGTACCAGAACGCAGATAATTCATGTTTATTAAATGTAATGAGTTATGCGTTATTTGGAGATTTCATTTTCTCTAGAAACTCTTCGATCCAGGGATGTTTGAAGGCAGCCTCTCAATCCATCCTGTCTGAAGGATCCCAGGTTAATCATGATTTTATGAAATCAATGAAAGCTAGGTCTTCAGTTTTTAAGAAGGATTCTATGGTTTTGGAGCCAGGGATTTTTTCCTTGCCTCTATCAGTCACCAACTAAAGGAATTAGCTCATCGAGGAATTATACTTACTGTTAGGGGCTTTCAGTCATCATCATAGAACTTTTCCCTTGCCGATGACTCTTCTAGTAAGTCTCTTGGAGGCAAGCCGAGGTATTGCTGCATTGAAAGTAATAGTTCTAGTTCATTTTCACATGGAAAGACTGGATATCCTGTATACAGTTCTCACAGAATTCAACCGAAGGACCATATATCTATCTCTCTTCCGTAAGGAAGGCCCAGAACGATCTCTGGGGCTCGATAGAACCTTGACTGAATGTAGGTATATATCCGTTTATCAGAGAATCATCCGCTTCCAAAGTCGATCATTTTGATGCCACTTTTGTTGATTTTCTTCAGAAGAATATTTTCAGGCTTCAAATCTCAATGAATAACATTGTTTTTCTTACAATGCACGAGTGCCAGCAAGATCTGGATCGCGAACCTTTTGATGATGGACATCTTTCACCCTCTGAAGTTATTCATCTTTATGTATTCATACAGGTTGATACTGAGAAGTTCGAATACGATTCAGAGATGACTCCTGAAGATAAATGAATGGATCATTTTAACTACATTTTTCCTATCCTTGCTGTCAGTCTGGTTGAGTTTATTTTAAAAGAGCCACTTCAACTTTACCTTGGATGTGGAACCTTTGCTTGTTTTTGATAACTTTTAAGGCAACATTTCGATTATGTTTATGGTCAAATGCTTTGACAACCTGACCAAAGGAACCTTTGCCAAGGCTAAATTAAGTCAGATGGTTGCTTACCTATCAATTATTTCATATCTATACAGAATATGCTCCCCTACTTTAAGGATGTAGTCTAAGTTTTCATCATCGTATTTAATTGGCTCCTTGCGTTTAAGCTTCTTTTGAATTGTCTGGGGGTCAAGATTGAAATAATACAGCGTATCGAAGTGTTCCAGTTCTTCTATTTCTTGAGGAGTCAGTAAACTTCCAAGCACCATCATGTTACTATCAACCTTTAAAGGAAATCCCAATAACTCTTTAAGATCACTATCAGATTTGGTCGCTGTGATCTTAGATGGTGTATTCCTATGTCTCATAGACAGGTTTGAACCTTTCTCTTCTTCATTTATCATTTCAAAGATGTTGCTACTTTCAAGCTTGCCATCAATAAGGTTCTTCAACTTTGTCTTTGGGCTATCATCGACTTTCTTAGTAGCTATCACTGACTCCTCCTTCGTAGCCTTAGGAGGACAGTCTGGTCCCATACTTTCACCTTTCTCTTGCTTACCTTCCTTATAGTCACGTTGAGCTTTGTCTTTAGGATTTATAGAAGAGTCCTTGATCAGTGAAATTTCCTTAGTTAAATTTTTACTGTGATTCTTTGTATTCATTCTAATAATCTTATCATCTGCATTAACTTTCCCTTTGAAGGTCTTCTCCATAGACTTGTTTGCTCCAAACTTGCTCTTATTAGAGGTCTTGAATACCTAGAGCCAGTTATGACCAAAATTTTACCTTAATCTTTCGAATTTGCTTAGGCTCATCTTTGTGTTTAGTCTTTTGTTCATCGATCACCATGGGTTTTTGGTGAATACTTTTACTGAGTTCTTCCATTACTGCAGAGCGGTGGAGCCCAGGATCTTCACAGGTTGAGTTCTGCCTCATTACTGTCTGAAGAGCCTCTTTAGAGTTACCCTAAAGTGATAGTTTTGAGTAAAATTACCTTGCCAAAATTAAATATTTTTCAAAATTTTTGATTTAAGAGAACTTTTTTGTTTGAATTTCCCTTTCGATGAAAATTTTGATAAAGTTGCACTCAAATTTTGGTTTTGAGGTGTTTCAATCAAATTTTGGACCTTTTGAAGTGAAGGGTTCTTTACGATTTTTGAGAATTGAGATCTTTTCTTGCTATTTTTACCCTGGTTTTGAAAAATAAGACCTGCTCTCGTGAGATATTGAGTTCTTAGAGGTGTTAGATGCTATAAATATGTTAGTAGACATGTTTTAGTTATTTTAGAGTAAAATATGAGGTGAATTACCTGAGAGACTGTCATATCATCGATCATCCGATATAATTACTTTTATCATATTTAGATTATTGATTTGGTTGATATTCTTGATATTTTGAGTGTTTATTAAGTTCTATATGATGATAAATGACAATCCTAGTTATAGATTTTAATTTATCATTCTCTTACAAAATCAGAAGTAATACAATAGAAATCTGCTAGTCAACAATATAGGAAATATCTGAAATCTCAGAATGACTTACTGCAGGACTTCCGAATACTTTTGAACTATGGCTAGGACTGTCTAAAGCTTTGTTAAGGAAGCTAGAGTCAATCTTTTGTTTTAAAGACTTTTTCGAACAAGTCTTATTCTGAAGCTTAGATAGAGTGCTATTTGCTGAAGGGTAACTCGAATGGAAAGCTAGGTTTATAGACCTCAAGGGTTGAGTTTCAGGTGATAACCCAGCTTCAGACAGAGTGAGATTTTCATGTTTAAACCCTCTTGATTGCTTATTATTTTAGAGAGTTATGAAGCGACCCATTCTTTCTTGACTGAGAAGACTGAGAGAACTCTTGTGGTTTCTTGGTAGGGGAGATAGTTAAATGTGGAAATCGGCTGATGCTCTGAGTCTTCTTTGGTCTAAATCTCAAGTTATGGCATACATCTTAACTATATATTACCTCGAATTCTCAAAAATAGTGCTATAATTCTTGGGGACATTTGGAATACTCATTTTAGTATATCCATGTTTGCTCTTTCTTTTTGGTTTGACTATAAAATAACTAAGATAAAACATATTTCATAATGCAAGGTGGGGGTTTACCATACCAAACACACAATGAAATTCCATTTTCTCTATTCATTACCTTTAACAGACCTCGGTTTGTCCATACTACAGCTAGGATTGACTTGAGAATATGCAAGCTTGAGGCCTGTCTTCTTAGGTTTACTACCCTCATGAGTACTATCTCCAAATGCTTTCTGGAGTTCAAGTCTACTAGGAAGTACATGAAGAGAGGCACCAATATTAAGCTTCCTTCTTCTAATATTGAAGTTGCTTCCACTTTTGGGACCTGACCGAAGCTTCTTCATCTCTTTTGTTCAATTTAATTTATAATAACGGGTTTTTGGGGTTTTGGGGTTTTGGGGTTTTGGGG